TCTCTGGGATTGTTACCACTCCAATAGTGCATATTCTGCTTGTTGACATATCTGGATAGGTGAAAATGTGCCTCATCACTAAAGAAAACAACTGCGTCAGGGGGTAAAGTTTCCAATAACGTTTCACACGCCGTTATTCCGTTCTGGAAATCACGTGGTCACAATTCTCTGGGATTGTTACCACTCCAATAGTGCATATTCTGCTTGTTGACATATCTGGATAGGTGAAAATGTGCCTCATCACTAAAGAAAACAACTGCGTCAGGGGGTAAAGTTTCCAATAACGTTTCACACGCCGTTATTCCGTTCTGGAAATCACGTGGTCACAATTCTCTGGGATTGTTACCACTCCAATAGTGCATATTCTGCTTGTTGACATATCTGGATAGGTGAAAATGTGCCTCATCACTAAAGAAAACAACTGCGTCAGGGGGTAAAGTTTCCAATAACGTTTCACACGCCGTTATTCCGTTCTGGAAATCACGTGGTCACAATTCTCTGGGATTGTTACCACTCCAATAGTGCATATTCTGCTTGTTGACATATCTGGATAGGTGAAAATGTGCCTCATCACTAAAGAAAACAACTGCGTCAGGGGGTAAAGTTTCCAATAACGTTTCACACGCCGTTATTCCGTTCTGGAAATCACGTGGTCACAATTCTCTGGGATTGTTACCACTCCAATAGTGCATATTCTGCTTGTTGACATATCTGGATAGGTGAAAATGTGCCTCATCACTAAAGAAAACAACTGCGTCAGGGGGTAAAGTTTCCAATAACGTTTCACACGCCGTTATTCCGTTCTGGAAATCACGTGGTCACAATTCTCTGGGATTGTTACCACTCCAATAGTGCATATTCTGCTTGTTGACATATCTGGATAGGTGAAAATGTGCCTCATCACTAAAGAAAACAACTGCGTCAGGGGGTAAAGTTTCCAATAACGTTTCACACGCCGTTATTCCGTTCTGGAAATCACGTGGTCACAATTCTTGCACAACCATCTTACAAGGATGGAAATTAAGATATTCATGAAGAATTCGGCACACTGAATGATTGGATATGTCTAGGGTGACTGCATGTCTGCGAGCGGAGCATCTTTAAGATCTCAAAATCGACTGTAGAACTTCCTCCACATTTTCTGGCATTGTAACGGTCTGCTGTTGTCCTGATGATTTTTTCACCACACTCCCGGGTGTCCTAAAGTTCTCTACCCACAAAACAATCGATTTCCAGTCACGAACCGGACCTCTGGGCTTAATTCCGAAGTGAGTACGGAATGCACACTGCATCGCCACGTAGGAATGGTTGTTCGAAAAATAAGCTTCGACAGCAAACGCACGCTGCTCACTCGTCCACCTCATGTTTCCTACCGAGGGGTATTAAACTTCCATGACTACTGCGTTCGCCAAGCCTATCCCCACTTTTCTGCGACCTCCCCTCCCTTCACAAAAAGGAAGTTTCTCTGCCCCATCCTGTACTTGGAGAATAGTACAAGTTATGAAGCTCCTCATTATGCAGTTTTCTCCAACCTCCTGTCATTTCATCTCTCTTCGGTCCAAATATTCTCCTCAACACACTTCTCTCAAACACCCTCAGACTATGTTCCTACCTTAACCTTTAAACGACTAAAGACAACGTATGTCGTCTTTAAAAGAAAGTCACCGGCACGAATGACTACATATGGTGTCGCAGAGTCCGCGCGTGGCAACGTTATATAAAATTAAATTTTAAAGTAGAAAATTATGTCCTACTTACATAATTTTTGGCCACCATCTGCATGGAGTGTCTGTCTTCCCGCCTGCATCATCTGCCGGAATGTTGCCTTCGTGTGGAATTCTCAAAAAATCCGGAAATGCAGAGTCCGATTTCGCAATTCACGCACTTTGTCCGGGCGGTCTTTCGTGTCCNATGTTTTTGGACAACAGGCAAGAAGACAATAGGTTACAGTACATACTAAGACCAAGCAAACTAACATAGTGCATTTCTTTCATTAGCGCACATTGGTGAAATTATGAGTAGTATCACAACTATTTGTGACTGTGTGACTGTTAATGATAGTATGTCATACATAATACTAAGATGTCGCTGGTGTAATATCACTCTTCTGAAGGTTCATACCCCAACAGAGGATAAAATTGATAATATGAAGGACAGGTTCTACAATAAACTAGAACACGTGTATGATAAATTCCCTAAATACCATATGAAAATTTTGTTAGATTTCAATGACAAAGTAGGTAGGGAAGACATTTTCAAACCAATAATTGGGAATGACAGTTTGCACAAAATGAATAATGATAATGGAGTTAGAACAGTAAACTTTGCCACATCCAAAGATCTTATTGTAAAAAGTACAATGTTCCCACATTGTAACATCCACAAATTTACATGGACATCTTCTGATGGAAACACTAACAATCAAAACTGAACAATTTTGATAGACAAATTCCTGGAGAGACTGTCAATGAGTAAACAAACAATGCACAGAGTTCATAAGGAGAGGTTCAATCTCAAGAAATTAAATGAGGCAAGAGGGTAAAGAGCAGTACTGTGTTGAAATATGAAATAGGTTCGCAAGTCTGGAAAAATTAGACGCTGAAGTGGATACTAATAAAACTTGGGAAACTATTGAGGAATATCAAAATTTCAACCAAAGAGAGTCTATGTTATTATGAACTGAAGAAGCATAAGCCAGGAATATAGGAAACACAAAATTAATGACCTTGCAACAAACAGTAAGAACTAGTACACAAGAGACCTATATAGTGTAATAAATGAATTTAAGAGGGGTTACCAACCTAGAACTAACTTAGTGAAGGATTAGAATAGTGATCTGCTTGCAGATTCCCACAACATTTTGAACAAGTGGAAGAACCACTTCTTTCAGTTACTGAATGTATGTAGGGTCAGTGATATTAGGAAGACAGAAATATATACAGATGCACCATCAGTATCTAATCCTAGTCCTTTTGAGTTTGAAATTGCTACTGCAAAGTTTATGGTATGCATCCTGTTGTGTGTCATGGAAGAGCATTAACAGGGCCATCTACACAACATTATCCACAAAGACAATCGATACTAATGTATCAGCATTCATTCATTAGGCAGAGTTGCAATAAGAACACAACAACAGGGCTCCCTTCACATACAATGTGACATACAAGCATTATAAACTCTCCACTTATAGAACACAGCTCGCTGAGAGTGAGATAAAGAAAAACGCTTGAAATAAGTTTAGTTAGTTATGGACATAATGTGATGAGATCACTGCTACCAGTACACTGCAGGTGTAGGAAACTGAGACAATACGGATCCTATCCAGGTGTCTTGTAAAGAGAGTTATTTCCATTACAAGTGTGTTCACATAAACGTGTCACTTAATAGAAAAAATAAACCGTTACAGATTCAAGTACAATTCTTCTGCAACAACACAACATATATTTAACTGCTAATTATACCGTAATGGTACATTCACAACCATTGCTTACAAACAGAATACCAAGAAGTTGCATGTTTTCCAATGGTGGCATTTAAAACAACGTATAATATAGTGTACATGTTTGTGATATTTAAATATCTTTGCATATTGCATTTGTTACTGAAGGCTAATACAAGCCAGTGTGTTTATTATTATAGGGTAGAATGTGGGTGAGACCTATGAGTGGAATGAGTGGTCTGTGTCTGTGCGTGCTATAGGGTAGAATGTGGGTGAGACTTGTGAGTGGAATGAGTGATCTGTCTCTGTGGGTGCTATAGGATAGACTGTGGGTGACTCTTGTGAGTGGAATGAGTGGTCTGTGTCTGTGCGTGCTATAGGGTAGAATGTGGGTGAGACTTGTGAGTGGAATGAGTGATCTGTCTCTGTGGGTGCTATAGGATAGACTGTGGGTGACTCTTGTGAGTGGAATGAGTGGTCTGTGTCTGTGGGTGCTATAGGGTAGAATGTGGGTGAGACCTGAGTGGAATGAGTGGTCTGTGTCTGTGAGTGTGACCTCTCCCATTTAGCAGAAAGTTGAAATAGAACATGCTAGGTGAGTTCAAGCAAGTTTTCAGCTCAGTGACTTCAATAATGCTTATTGCAATGAGAATACTGAATTATATGACATTTTCATATCCTTCTGATAATCACTTCAAAGAAGAATTATTGCCACATTGACATCATGATGTAAATCTCAGTGTCATACTGTATTATACAGAACAGGCAGCTGGGATACAGGCTGTAGCTTTGTATTTCAACCATTATCAGAGACAAGGAGTACCCGTTATGAGCATTTTTAGGATTTTTTTTAATTCATTTAATAGTTCCACTGCATGTATTGGATGGTTTTCTTTTATCACTGTACTGAACCTTTGGGCTACATAAGAGAAAAGTGACTGGTCTGCTGCACAATTATCATTTCCTCAAGGACTGTGACCCATGAAGTTAGTTAAGAGAGGTACTCAGTTATCAGATTATACAACTGGGGATTCACTGGCAGACTACTAAAGATGAAGATGATGAAGCAACATCAGACTTCATTTACTGCTGAATGCTAATGATAATACTACACAGTACTTACCGCAAGCATAGCATCCTCTAACGTAGCCACAAATGATTCAATGAGATTGGAAGGAATATCAGAAATGAAACCCACTGTATCCACATACAGCACCTTGAGACGGGATGGTAATATACCAGCATGAACTGTAACATCTAATGTAGCAAACAAGTGATCCTTAGGCTCCAATTCTCTCTCTCCCGTCAGAGCCTTTATTAAAGAAGTTTTACCTGCAAATCAAACATAAAACACAGTTGAAATGTAGGGACAATTGCATGTCTCTTTTATGAAATGGGATTGTTTATTATCGGTTAGGGACAGGAACCAGATCAACAATTACGAGGACAGTGTGTTGGTGACAGGATGCCACAACAATGAAAGGTGTGTGACATTACTGTTCTGAATGTGCATGCACATATTGCAGATACAAGTGGTGATACGAATGATATGTATGACAGGAGGACAGAATTACTTCAATTATCTATTGCAAGATCATCAGCTTCATGAATTTTGGTACAGATAATGTGTGTTGTTTAGTCTTTATTGAATGCTTATAGCTTCTTTCATGAAGCTGAAACTGCTATTAGAAAGATGAAAACATACTGTCTGATATTGGTCAAAATCTGATAAAGGAACCCAAGTGGGAGGTTAAGCATTACATCGTGAGATTCAAGAACTTTTTAACATATCCTGTTCGGAACAAACCTCCCAGATCAGTGAAAAGAATGGAGTGCTAAGTGATGTGACACACTTTTATCCAGCACTCTTTTGGAAAGGTTAACTCCATAAACAGATGAAGTTAGTGCAGATCATATGTGTGGATGCTTATTTAAAAGATCAAATCTGGTCAGCCCTTAAGAGAGTTAACAAATCAAAAGAACAATGCAAGTACAATGATGTAGTAATCGCCTACTTACTTGCATTAAAACAGCTTAGGGCCCATTTAGTATAATACAACTGAATCTGGTCATCCAGTAAACCAAGGGAGGTAAAAATATATGTCTGAATAATGGATGCCAGTGGGGGGAGGAAATGACAAACTAAGCATCTGCCCCCACTCCCTGGATTACACCCAGTATTAACAATGAATATTAAATGTTCAAACAACATTATACTTACGTCCCAAACGCTATACGGAAACAATATTGGGGCACACAGCCCCATTGCTAAGCAGTGACTCTGCTAACAGCGGCTGTTGCTACATAACACCCACAACATACACACATGCAACAGAACAACGGGGTTACGCAACCCATTTCTAAGCAACAGATCCGCAGACATGCCTACATTAATAGGGGTTGGAAACAGCATTTTATACTCGGTCCATACAAAGTGGATATAAAGAAGAGTTCAGTTGAGAATTGGCAGTCGAGTTCTGGAGTTAGTCAAGAGCTGGGCTCTACAAGGGAGGCTGAGAAGATGGTGCTACAAGTTCAGGGGTGGACTGTTATCCAGCGAACAATGAAGTGACCATGGAAGCTGAAGAACCTCCACTGTTAAGATGCATTACCAGAAAACATCTCGTGAACATACTGCAGAGGAATAGCCACTGCTGAGAGCTGATACCAAGCAACAAATAGCAAAAGCAGACAGAGAAGACTTAGCATGGGGTATTTTGTAGTGTGGAACTCAGTAATAGTGTTATAATTACTTATAGTTCAGAAAAGTGCATACAAGTGGTCATTAAATCCATTCACCAATCCATACCCTGTCCATAGTCACACCCCTATATCGTGACATTCTGGTTTCAGAAGTGGTCAGATTAGATACTCCACTGGATCTTGATTGCTATGTTGCATACTATGGAAATAGAGCAAATAATGGCATGCTTGCTGGTCATGCAAGAGGAGATAGATGCCAGCCCAGCTACAAGAAATGCAAGCCTGGTGAGAAGAGATGACAGCCTGTAAAGAAGCAGTGGAGGCCTGTCTGGAGAGTAAGGAGCCAACCTCACTGGAGATGAGTCCATAGCATAGAATGACAAGGTCCCAAAGGAAGAGGCCACAATGAAACCTGTCAGAGCACAGAAGAAGCAGCATGGGGACCAGAATCTAGCTGTAGGGTGCCGCCAAAAGCCAAAGAAAAGGACCCATGGCAATGGCAGATCCCAGAAGAAATTGGTTGCCACCTATAGATAGATGACACACAGCGTTAAGGGACACTGTTGTCAGATACAAAGAAAGGACAAGGCTGCACCAAGAACCCAGAAAGGACAGACATCTGGGAAGAGATGATGGCCCAACCGCAAGGCAGCAATGGAATAAGGTTCCAAGGCTTAAAGAAGGAACTACATCTGAGGAGCTAGAGGACATACAGCAGGATCTACAGGAAGGCCCTAGTGCTGGAGATAGTGAAGCAAAGAGCTGAGCTTTCAGTCAGGATTCGAAAAGTGAGTGACTGAACACTGTGGAGGGACTGGCCCCCTCCGAAACAAAAGAAGAGACTGCAAACAGAGTTAAGAGCTGAAAATGTAGGAGCACTGAGAATCCAGTCCATACCACCCCATTCTAACTCTCTAAAATCCATTTCAATATTATCCACCCACCTACATCTTTGCCATCCTGATGGTTTCCTTCCTTCTTGCTTTCCCACCAATATCTTATAGGCATTCATCTTCACCCCCATTCATGCTACATGACCTGCCTGCCTCATCCTCCTTGACTTCATCATTCTAATTATACTTGGAGAAGAGCAGAAGTTATGAAGCTCCTCATTATGCAGTTTTCTCCAGCCTCCTGTCACTTCATCTTTCATTGGTCCAAATATTCTCTTCTGCAACCTATTCTCAAACACCCTTAGTCTACATTCCTCCCTTAATGTCAGAGACCAATTTTCACACCAATACAGAACCACAGGCATAATTATAGTTGTGTGTGTTCTAATTTTTGTTTTTAGACAGCAGACCTGAACATAAAAGGTTCCAGATGGAATGGCTGACCATTATACCTGGATTTAATTTCCTTTTAAGTTCCTACCTGAATTAAATTTTGATTTGTTACTGTTGCTCCAAAATAGTTGAACTGTGCTATACTTTCAAAGGATCTGTTAGCTGTCTTTCTGTCGTGATATTGCTCTGCATTTTGGTGATGAGATAGCAACATACTGTAGTGCGTAGAAGCGTTTCTAGGCAACAGCTTAGTGCACACGTTCCCGCAGCAACAACAGAAGTACTGTTGGAAATGGCGTTTGCTACTCAGTCCATGCAAGGGGTTACAAGGAGGACAACTGAAGCAAGGGCAGACAGACAAAAGGATGAGAAAAAATAAAAAAATTGAACTGAGGTTACTGTTATTTGAAGAGTTGAGTGGTTAGTGAGATTGTTTGTTGGTGGAGCACTGGAAGGAATCAATGAGTAAGGAGATTGGTCAAGTGGACTGGCAAGGAATAGAGGTGACAGGAGTGAGAGTGAGTGATGGTCACAATGGAACAGTCATTGCTTCGGAAAATTTGCATTCATCACAAGTGGCCATGCAGCTCATTCTGTGAGTGGGTTAGTGGTTGACACTGGAGTTCAGGAGTGGCAGTGGACAGTATCCTTCAGTGTGGTTAGCTCAGTGGATCAACAGACAAGAGTGGGCTAAAATTATGGAAGGAGACTCCTGTCCAAGATGACAGATGTCCCAGTGCCAGGATACAAGGCATTTTGGACAAACAAATGTAAAACACTGATGGTAGAATAAGAAGAAGTTAGTCAGACAATAGCCCAATGTGGAAGCACAGGTGAAGCAGCTGTTTAAAGTACTCTGTGATATCGAGGATGTGGAAGGGTACACTCCAGCTTCAGTGGGAGAAAGTCATGACTGGACATCCATCGTCAACAAGGTCTAAGAAAACTGTACCAACTACTGTAAAGTTCTCTCTGGGAAGACGCTCTATAGTGCCCTGTACAGTACATATACAGTTACTATCAACGAGTTAAAGGACTTGCTGAAGGCAAGCATCCTCTCTGAGGAAAATAAAACCAGAAAAGGCATAGGGAAACCAAACCAGGAGGAAGGTGTCCATGAAGTTTCCAGGCATAAGTGGCAGAGCACCAAAGAGACCGCCAAAACTGTAAAGAAAGCGGCAGTGCAGGCCAAAATGCCTCCATCCATAAGCACCTCCTCGACTACAGTCACCACCTGGAACTTCTTTGCTCCACTCAGAGCGACTGACACAGACTCAGATTCTGCCAGCACCGAGGCCTCATCATGTGTGGCGACCACCCCCTATAGTCCTAACATCTGCCGTCAACCTCATCCAGTTGCAAAAGCAGCTGAAAGGTGTGGTAAGTGAACACTTTGAGTTCTGTGGCACAAGAAACAGAACAGGAGTCATCACGAAAGGCATGGCAGATTTCCAGTCTGTCAGATGCCACTTCAAAAGACACAACTTGTCCTACTTCTCCTTCTTCCCAAATTCTGAGAAGCCCATAAAGGTGGCTATATGCCATTTGCCACACAACACCCCTGCTGGTGAGCCTCAGCTTCAACATGGTTAGCGTCAAGCAGATGACAGCAACCCATTGGTAATCTCCTGAGGAATCCAAAATCATAAACATGCCCCTTTTCCTAGTAACCTTGCTGAGGATGCCAAAGTCACAGGAAATTTTCTGTTTGCCAAGCCTCTGCCACAGTTCTATCAGGGTGGAGGCATATAGAGCCCAGAATGCTCTTGTGCAGTGCCACAATTGCCAGAAATTCGGCTGCATTTGGGCAAACTGCAAACAGCCTCCCCAATTTAACTTGTCTCATTTTGAACCGTCACACTATTAATTACAGAGTAGATAATGAAAAGTTCAGTCCAGTGTGACATGCGAGTTTACAACACTTCAGTCCTCATTCACATTACATGTTTCGATTCAAAAGAATCATCTTCAGAGGTGCACCACTATGATATGGAAACACTGTCACATAAGAAATTTTAACAATATGCACTTTAGATATGACTAATGCTCTCTATATAAATTTTGATATTGCGGTTGGTTTTCATGTTTGTCCTAGGCACTCACAATGGCGCTTCTTGAAGTGTAGATTAAATAAAGATGAATCTGCTTACGCCCAACATATACTAAACAATCGTCATCAATACAGACCAATATCAACGGTCATGGAAATCATCGAAAAAGCTAATAAGGGTAATATAATGAATATAAGAGAGGAATTCCAAATATACTACTACAACAAACACAACAAACTGATAGATGAACAGAGACAAACAAGGGAAACAAACAATCAAAACAACATGTTTG